TGACCCAGTTTTGGACCATTTAGGAGGCGGGCTGCGTCACTACCCTACTTGTCAGGGGGCCACCCCGGGGCTGTGTCACTACCCTGCCTGTCAGGGGGCCACTCGGGGCTGTATGGGGCCACCCCGGGGCTGTATGGGGCCACTCGGGGCTGAGAGAGAGAGAGAGAGAGAGAGAGAGAGAGAGAGAGAGAGGGGCATACGTCATGTGTACAACTTTTGTTTAGTTTTAGCAAGGTTGTTTTGTTTTTTGTTTTTAGTAGAGGTTTTACGGCGCTCGCAACTGCATAAGGTCATATGAGCGCGTGGGACACATTAACACATTTTCAGTTGGTAGGAAATTTCGAATTTTGCCCGGGCGGCGGCCGATGCCTTATTTTTATCAATTTTGGACCACAAAGGGATCTTTAACGTGCGCAACGTGCACACGGGACCTCCTAGATTATTCGCCCTTGTCCGAGAAGGCTAGGTGTAGATCTTTCCTACCAGAAGATCAGGGGTGTGGCTGAAAGTTATTGAAAGTGAAAGACAGCAGTAAGAAGGAGCCAATGAATAGCAGTAAGAGCCAGGAGCCCAGAGGAGGGGGTAAAGGAGGTGAGGGGGAGGGGGAAGAAAGTGGAAACGAAAGCAGACGACAGAACAATGCTAAAGAACAGGAAAGGACGTGAAAGGAGACAATTTTAGAGAAGAAAGTTTTTCGGTCGCTACCCGGATTCGAACTCGGGACCTCTGAATGAGAGGCGAACACCTTAACCTCTAGGCAACAACAGCCCCCTATTTCAAGTTTGATATATATATATATATATATATATAAAAGTGAGGAAATAAGAACATTCAAACGCAGTGCAAAACACGCACACACCATTTATTGTTAGAAAATGTATTATGTACTTTTAGAAGAAAAAAAACAAAAACAAGACAGGATTTATACTGTTTTTTATGTCGGTGTTTTTACACCCCCATCGACACAATTTAGACCAATTAGGAGGCGGGCTTCACACCTTGACTGTCAGGGCCAACCCGGGCTGAGAGGGATACAACATCCCAGCAGACAGACCCGGGCTGAGAGGGATACAACATCCCAGCAGACAGACCCGG